AAAGAGGCACAGGCTCAAATTAATGCTCAAGTGGAAGGCATTACAGATCAAGTTCAACACTTAGGTGCTGAAGATGCAGCTCGTCATTTACAATCAACAACAACAACGGTTATTACATCACAAGCGACATCGGATAGTGAACACCATGCCGAAGCTGTACCACAGCATGTAGCTGGTAGTACAACGACAGTAGAACGACATTCAAGCAGCACCACTCATGAAGGAACAGAACACAAGCATTAAATGATTACTCTTGATTGGTCACAAACTCTATATGGAATCCTGTTTTTCGAAGTTTCTTTGTTTTTTCATCGATAAACAGTGATAAGAACATATTTTTTTAAAGTGTCTATTAATCTCTAATCTTTATACCACTAATAACACATTTAGTTACTAATCATCAATCTACCAATACCAATGTTATTATTATCAAAAGTGTTATGTAAAGCGCTCAGACGCGGCCCCGCCTCGTAGTGATGACGACAACGTCTGCTACTCCTGGCTTCTGATAAAAGAAGATCGTACGCAAACGAGAAATACAAACTGTACGTGAAAGTATCCATATATTCTGTAATCCTGAGCGGAAGCAATTTCCTCCAAAAGTTGAGTGAACAAAGGTTTAGTAGCGATACATTATAACAGTAGAACACCTATCAGATGTAATCGTACAATAAACCAACAGTTCAATTCACGTTTCAAGTTTCAAGTTTCAGAATGATATAATGCGAATTCATATTCTCGATTTCGTTCTGGTTCAAGATTCAACCTCAAGGTCATCCCCTGAGTCAGAAATATAGATTTTTCTGTAAAAGATTTGTTTTGAGCTAAGCACATGATTGATGAGCCCAATGTACCTGCTATTGAAATGCATACTATTTATGTCAATATCAAAGGTTTCTGGAGGAGTTTGAACAAATATTCCAACTCTCTAGAAACCTGATGATTTTGAAATTCTGGTAATTCAGTGGAAGAATTCTAGTGGCTCCAGTTCATAGAGTAAACATTTGTGATAAATGAATAAAAATGGGACGTCTCCCAGCACCAAGAGATACTTGGATCAAACGTTATGACAGTTTTATTAAGAGCCCTAAAACGTGTCACACCCTAGCGCCACTATATCTCAAAAGCGACTTTTTCCTACGTGATAAATACTGTCGGAAACATTGACTGTAAAATCAAGATTTTTCTATCAAATTAAGCGCTAGAGAGTTCGGGTTCATCTTAAACTGAAGCTAAGGTATATGGAAAGAACTTAAAAGGGCCTGACTTTTGATTTATGCCGTCATTCTTCTACATTATTAAACATGATACACTAGTTTTTGCGCCTTTTTCGAATTGTTGAAGTGAAATCCTTCGGAGAATAAAATGAAAAGAAAACTCAGAAATCTGGCTCTGCTACTCGTTATTCTAACTCCGGTTTATATTTTGAAACCAGCCGAAGTACTCCAGTGGTTTTCCTGAAATCTACCGGACGGCAGATATCACATTTTGACCCATGTTCAAGTGACATCTCCCAAACGATGGCAGATGGAGCCACCGAGCTTATGCACTAAACTATTCTTCAACCTTCCTTGAAAAGGACCCGGGGACTGATGGGCGGAGTCTTTATGTTTATTACCGGTGCGTGTCATGGATTCATCTGATATTGTTGTTGCTGATGCTCTTACTGGTTTGGGTCGTCTTGACGGTTTTTACTATTAAAATCATTTGAATCTATGCGAAAAGAAAGCAAACGATTTCAATATATGTAAACATAACTCAGAACAAAAGGCATTAATTTGTATCAAAATTTTCACATTGTAGCAAGAACCACTTAATAATCATTCTACAATATTTGGAAAGCATGAGACACATGTGAAAAGTATGCTCATTCTTAATTGAGATCACTTTTTATAATTAAAGAAATAGAAACGATCTCAGTTTGTAAATGGCATATTCTATCAATTTTGAACGAACTCAGTTTGGAAAACGAGCTTGTAGCTTCTATTTTAATAAAATATAGATACCTAAATTGTATATAACACATAGACTGAAGTGCAAGTCTAAAAGATTGTATTGAAACGTCTACGTCCAACAAAAGCTTTTTCGTGTATCATACATTCGTTGTAAATGTGTTTTATTTTATAACAATCCAGTCCCTTATGCAGTTTTGGGTTTTCATCACCAAAATCATTACAAATTCTCCATGTAAATCCACACTAGAATGTAGATGGTACATTTAGAAGGTCACTAAAACTATTTTATCAAAGCTGCGGTGTCCATATATAGGTGGATGGATTATATTTCGGACTGCCGTATTCTCACTTTCCTCATCCACAAGATGCAGTTGTAAAGAATTGGCCGAAAATAAATCCAGATTGGATGTGAATGTAACTGATACGACTTTCGACTTGATGTATTTTGCTAATTCATCTGCATAGAAATCACTCATTTGTGATTGCAATGTGTTATGGACCCAACTGCACCTTATTCAACCATGACGGTGAATTAGCGATCGCTTCTTCATTCAACAATATCAGTAATTTATGCTTTGTACCACTCTCAATCCTGATACCGTTACTTGCGGAGAATTTATCAAACGTGTCGGGTGATATTTTGTTTGAGTCTCTCTAAAAACCGATTCATTTTGGATGCGTGTAACATTAAACATCTGTTTCCTCAAAGAAGATAGTTATGATAGCATTATTCTACTTCAGCTCTAAAAAAACACGGTTGGATGCTAATTTGATAACATAATCATTTGATCTAAAACAGAGTCATTGTCTAATCAAGTCACGTCAAGCCAAGCAGCCATTTTTCATAAGAGACATTGCCATAGGTATTGAACGACATCATCGGCGCAGATCTTTTGCTCGTTTGATGCTGAAAATAACTCGAGGAACTAATAAAAAGTGTGTTACGACGACAGTGTACGCTGTGTGGAATAATCCTATTCTGTTCGGTACCCAAGGCATGAATTTCATCCAAATTAAATGCACATAACCAGCCAGTCGATTTAATTAAAATTTTTATGATATACTATCAAATTTTAGCATCATTCGAACTACCACCAAAAAGAAAGGCAATTGACAAAACGGTTTAGTATAAACTCACAAGAGACAAAGCATTTTTGTATATTATTCATACCTACACACTATACTAGCAATGCTACTAGTGAATTGAGAAGAAGCAAACAAAACTATTTTAAGAAATTAGCTAGCCATTTTGCGTCGCTCCATGATTTCTGGAAAGGAATAAATCGGACTGAGGACGGTAGAAATGATTTACCAACGACAGTATTGCTTGAAAAAAAGAGAGCGAGTACGGAAAAGGCGGATCTATTTAATACATTCTTTTAGGATATTGCTAAACGACGCGAACACCCACGAACACTCTCAAATTAACATCTGAATTAACCAATCGATAGAGCTCGTCGAGCTGAGTATAGCATTCCCTAACGAACACCCAAATAACTTTTTATAGTTTCGCTTTTTAAGCATATATTTTGAAGGAACACGCACGAATACCCACCCACGAACACAAAGGAGAAAGGGTAAGAACATCCCTTCTTTGTTGCTGAGAAGAAACTATTTTCGTTTGATTCATTTCTATAAAGCACGAACAAGTTATCTCCGCCTTCAGTTTTTGATCCGCCCTTTATAACATCACTGACGAATCGTAGAACAGAGCGTCTGAATACAAGTACGGTTTTAAAACACGTAAGGGCAAACACGAAGCCAGTCGGGACACCGAGTCTTATAAAAAAACGGATAGCGCCAGCTTTTTTCTATCAGACTACTGAATATCGGAACGCTTTACCAGAAACGGTTGTTGTGGCACATACTCTTACGGTATTGCTAAACGACGCGAACACCCCCAAATTAAAATCTGAGTTAGCTAATCGATAGAGCTCGCGAGCTGAGTGTAGCAACGCCTAACGAACACCCAGTTTCGCTTTTTAAGCATACATTTTCAATGAACACCCACGAACACCCAGAAGAAAGGATAAGAACACCCAAAAAGGTGTGCCAAATTCAACTCCAGGTTGTTCTGAGCCTAGTGGCACCATTTTCAACCCGAACAAAATATCTTTAAGAATTCTTGAAAAAATTCACCCTTTCAGATATGACATAACTACAATTAAACGCTTTTTCTTTACTTCACAGTCTAGACATCTAGACATATTATATATCATAAGAAAACCCGTGAACTTCTCTACAAAACTGCCATTTAGGAATTATTTAAAAGTTCTTTGTTCAGCTTTTAATTGTGAATTGACCTTCCCAATTATAGGCTGTTTCAGATCTAAGAAAAATAAAGCGTGTACTAAAGGGAATGAAAGTTTATAAACTATGCTAGAATACTCTACAAGGATTTCTGAAATAGTAGTACTCGTTAGAATCATAAAAATTCCTATATTCAAGGTAAAATAGTACAAATACTAAGTATGACTAAAGTATGTTTCTTGTTCTTTCTCAACTATTCGAATACATAATAAATCAGTACATATTTTTACCATGCAGTTTTAAATAGTAAGAAGTAGAGCTTGAATAAAATAATTAAGCTTATATTCAATCGTAATAGTGAAATAGTTGATCGTGTGTGGTAAATGATTGATTTAATCATGTTCCTCTTCTTTGCAAAAATCATATGCCATTGATCGTGCTTTTCGGAATGTGTTTGTAAAATCAGAATTATTAATTCGTATTTGTTCTACTGATGTTTCCTCCACATCCAGCGTTGCACGTGCCATTACGGATGTTCTTAACGCATTATTTATTGCTATTCGTACTAGCTGTTCAATATGAGTCCCAGTCAAGCCATGTGTATCGCAAATAATTGTTTCAATATCAATGCTCTGTTCTAATAGATGATGCTGTAACATGAGCTTCGCGTAAATATCAAAAATTTTCGTTCTGTCATCTCGATTTGCCAATTGAACTTTTATGCTAACCTCGAGTCGACCTGGTCTTTTTAATGCAGGATCAACTGATTCTCGAAGATTGGTTGTTCCAATCACTAAGATATTGTTCAGTTCAGAATATCCATCTAATTTTGTTAACACTGTCTTATACAGTGGCACGTGTTGAGCTGGCATTTGCCGATCGTCGTTTACATATGGCATCGATCGATCAAAAATAATGACATGTAGACCACTATCTTTTCCAATATTTTGTTCATCCAGTTCAGCATCAATAAACAATTCTCGTATCTTTGCTTCGGATTCACCTAACAAACTACTAAAGACCTCAGGGCTATGGACTATTTTCGGCTGTGTTCCCAACACCTGACATATGGTTCTTGCTATTAAAGTTTCCCCCGTTCCCGATGGACCATACAGTAAAATTCCTCGACAATGTTTCATACCAGTTTGATTTATAAACGATGATGGATAAAAACGTGATAATAATACATCGCCAAAAATTTCTTCAAATACATCTTCGCAACCACCAACTGTACCACTTAAATTGTACTTTTTGTTAACAATACTGAAAAATGTATTTCGTTTAATATGTGGTTGAGTAATGTATTTGTGCAGTCTTAAATCAGCTGTTTATTTACTGCTAGCTTTGCATACATTTGCATACATATTCATACATTTCACGGATGGATGATATTTGATAACATAATCTTGGTTATTTATTTTCAGCATCAAACGAGCAAAAGATCTGCGCCGATGATGTCGTTCAATACTTATGGCAATGTCTCTTAGGATAAAATACCAGAAGATACCGCTGGTTATACTGACGGTGTATAGTGACACACCGCGTGATTATCGCCGGTATACCGGACGGTATTTTCGTTAACTATGGTGGTATACCGTCCGGTAACCGTTGGTATTAAGCACCTACGTTAGTTATGAGTTGACTAATCATTTAAGGTATTGATAAATGCAATGTTTTTACACTATCGTTACAACGTTAAGACATACACATAAGTGATCTCATTCACTATTTGAAAACGCTGCGGAATTTTACGCAGTTATTTATGTCCTACACAAAGTGTATTTAAAAATGATAGGTATTTAATTCAAATAATATCAAGCAAAGTGAAAAATAAAAGTAGAAGAGTTGTATGAAAGTTGCTTATGGCAATGGTTGTGCGTCTTTAACACTTTGTAAAATTTCATTGATATCGTTCGGATTAATTTCAATTAATATCTCAATTAGTTCTTGATTTTTCAATATAGCCACATAGGTTTTACCTTCTTTTGGTTCTTTAACTTCATCATCTTCTGCTGCTTGTCGTATTTGCTCATCGCTTTCATTTTCAGTTTTCATTGCCAAACCTTTACCACTTTGACGATATTCAACTTGGTGTGTCGTATTTTTATCATCCGCAGCCGATGTTGTAGTTTTATTGAGGTGGCCGCGAATAGGTTTTATATTAAACATAGAATAGAGTAGAATAAACTATAAAAGGATAATCTTTTGATACATAGTGATTAATTCTCTTTGAAGAAATAATCAAGCCAAGTAGAAAACAAAATTAACCTCCTCTACACATTTATATAAAAGTTATTATAACATGAAATGTTATGTAACGCTGGAATACGAAATAGTCGCAAAGCAGACAACATATTCACAGGCATATATCTCAAAAACAAAAAGTGATCCTTTTCTAAGAAATAGATTCTACGTATACAAATTACAAAATATTATATACAGAATATGTA